AAAAGGAAATAGAAAAATGTAAACAGAAAAAGGAAATAGAAAAATGTGAATATAAAATTGTAAATATAAATATTAAGTAGTCACTGGAAATTTAAAAAATCTAGAATAATTTTTCACTTTGTTACAGAGATTTAACGAAACGCCTTCGTTTATTTCTCCTGGAGAAACATTCTGTGTTTGACTTCAGGAGTTCAAAATGTGGTTTAAATTTCAGGAGCTCCCAGTGCAGGCTTTGAAATCCTGATGGAAAGGGAGTTGTTTTAAAGCACCTGCAGACAAAGAACCATCACCTTTGTCTCACTAATAATTCATTTACGGGCTCTGAATGGCCCTAATTGAGGGTGCGGGTGAGCTGCAAACATCAAATTACGGGTTTCCCAAAAGGGTGTTAAACGAGACACCAAAAGAATCGATACAGGAATAGAAATTTAAATTGTTGCGGTAATTTGAAGCCATTTAATTAATAATTAGAGAGGAAGGATTCATTCGCCACCGAGGAATTTGAAGCGGCATCGACTTTGTGACAGAAAACTCTCTAATCTTGAATTTCAGATTCAAAATGCTGGTTAAACCAAGTCTATTCTGTTTGGAAAACTGGGTTTTTTGGCAGATTTTGGCAGTTTTTTGCCCAGATTAAGAGTAAAATATGTAGTATTTTTTATATTTTTTTATATTTTTTATATTTTTTATTTTTAAATATTTTATATTTTTATATTTTTATATTTTTATTTTTATTTTTTATATTTTATTTATTTTATATATTAAATTATTTTATATATTTTATATATTTTATATATTATATTTATATATTGTATAATACATAAAGCTGGGGGGAAGTAAAATCTTGCTCTCTGAACAATCCTATGAGGAGCGTGGGCCGTGATTGAACCAGTAATTGCAAAGAAAATGTGATTAATTAATTAATTAGTGTGAGCAAGGAGGTGACATTGGAATCTTGAGTGCTGGTCTTTGCAACCTGAATAATTCTCCTTGTGGTGTTTTAGATTGTAATGAAGTGGTGACAAATATTTAGTGTTATTTTGCTGCCTTTTATGCAGAAATTAGTAAAAATTATTAAAGTGCTACTGTGAAGAAAGCTCAGTGTGGGAGGAAATTCGCTTATTTAATGTATTTATATATTTATAAAGATAAAATATCTGTGTTATGGTGGTGGGGAGCAAGTGAAGGAAATATTTGGGTGCTGTAAGAAAAGTTTGGTGTCTGGCCAAGTTTAGGAAAGGAGGCTTTGATTTTTTTGGGGTTTCCATGGGCACATTTGTCCCTCCAGCCCTGTAGACCCTGCACCAACAGGAGCAAATATCCTTAATTTAATAATAATAATAATAAATATATAATATTTATATATAATAGTAAATATTATATATAATAAATATTATTATTATTATTATTATTATTGTTATTATTATTATTATTACAGCCCAGGAAGCTTTAATAGTGGGTATTCCCTGGAATCCTGGCACCAGTTTGTTGGGAAATCAAATGTAAAGAGTTGATTTGGGTGTTGTGGCAACAAATCCAGTTGATTTGTGGGTTTTCATCCCACAACTCTTAAATTGAGGGGAAATTTCTGTGGCAGAGTCGTTCTCTGAGGGCAAACTTCAATATAATCAATGGATGTTATAATATATATATTATAATATATTTACATGTTGATAATATGGAGGTAATCACATCCTGGCCCTGGTGGTCTCACTGGTTTGAACCCAGTGAGAAAATGTTGAATATAAAAAAATAAATGTAAAAAGTAAATAGAAAAGTGAATATGGAAATGGAAATGTAAAAAGTAAACAGAAAATTTTGAATATAAAAAACTAAAGGTAAAAAGTAAATATAAAATTTTGAATATAAAAAATTAAAGGTAAAAAGTAAATATAAAATTTCGTATATAAAAAAATAAATAGAAAAAGTAAAGAGAAAATTTTGAAATTAAAAAAATAAACAGAAAAAGTAAAGAGAAAAATTCGAATATAAAAAATAAATAGAAAAAGTAAAGAGAAAATTTCGAATATAAAAAATAAATAGAAAAAGTAAAGAGAAAATTTCGAATATAAAAAATAAATAGAAAAAATAAAGAGAAAAATTCGAATATATAAAAATAAATAGAAAAAGTAAAGAGAAAATTTCGAACATAAAAAATAAATAGAAAAAGTAAAGAGAAAAATTCGAAC